TCCCCCTTCCTTCCACCATCCCCCAAATTGCCAGGCTTCAGAGTCCCATTGCAGTTGGGCTTCCACTCTGAAGCTCCATCTAGTCACCAGTTCAGATGGCCCCAGACATGCCACCTGGCCTGGGGCCCTGAACCATCTAAGATGCCGGAGATCATCAGAAAGCCCTCTACCTCTGTGCTTCATAGCTTGAATCCTCCCCAACCCATGTTCTCTTTGGTCCTTCCTTTCCACTATATCCTTTTCAACTCTCCTCTTTTAAACCCCACTTCAATCCAAGGTCTTTTCCCCTCACCTTCCCTCCATCTTCTTGTAATTACTAAAACCTAAATTTGTCCTAAAAACATCATATTTCTTAGCACTGTCTCTGAAGATGGATGCTCCATTTCTCACACTCCTTGACACACAAGGCCATTCCCTCTACTTTTATTACTCAGCAACTACCTCTTATCGTTTAAAGTTCATTACTTCCTATCCAGGTCTTTGGGCTATCATCTATAGTCTCATTCCAGGACACACACACACACACACACACACACACTCCTACCTTAATTAGTTGTCTCACAATGTTCTTCTCTACCCTTGTTCCCTTTAAATATCCCAATTCCCACCATCTGTTTCTAATGTGTTTTGGCTAAGGAGTGTTCATGTGCTAAACCAGCATCCCACCCCTTTGGAATTCCTAGTTATGATTCTGCTTTAAAACATGACAAGTCTTAGACAATAGTAGGATGGAGCACTGGGACTGGGAGTCCAGCTACATGACAAAAGTCTAGTAGGTTTCATCAGTTATATGGGCCAGTTATCAAACCTGAAAGATCAGGTAAGGAAAGGAGGGAGCAGGCAAATACTATAAATCTAGGCAAATAAAGGGTAAAGGGTAGAAAGATTTGTCAAATGAGAGACAAGAGGGCAAGGGTTATGGGTTCAAATAATACAAGGAATTCAGGTAAGGCAAGGAGGGAGAAAGAAGAAGGGTGGGATCCTATACAGGACCATAGATTTAGAGCTGGAAGAAATCTTAAAGGTGATATAGTCCAGTGTTTTCATTTTTCAGATAAAGAAACTGAGGGCCAGTTAGGGCTGATTCCTTCTGCTGCCCTGGTGTGTCAGGAAGTGTGAGAAATGGGACAGCCATTCTCAAAGATAATACTAAAAGGGGTATGGTGACTTTAGGAAAAAATTAAGAGAAAAAGTGAGAGGAAGAGAACTTTGATTAAAGTGGGATTTAATAGAGGAGAGTTCCAAAGGACACCATGGAAAGGAAGGGCAAGAGAGGATAGGGTTGGGGAGGATGAGGGCTGAGTTTATTACAAAGCACAGAGGTGATGGTCTTTCTGATAACCCCAGAGAATTGGCTTCCCCAAAGTCACACGATTAGTAAGTGGAAGAGCCAAGATTTGAGCTCAGGTCCTCTGACTCCAAATCCAATACTTCTACAAAGAGACTAAGCAAGAAAGAGATATAGAGTCTAGGGAATCTAGCTTAGGCAAGGAGGAATAAATATGTTGTATAAGGCTGCAGTAAACCTAGATTTTGGGAAGACCAAGCGAGAGGGATGGGAACCCAGATGAGAGTAATGGAGAACGTATTTTCAGAAACAGCAGCAAAGGTTCTGGGCAACAGTGCAGGAAAGCAGACCAAACAAAAGATATTAATAAGCCAAGATCAACAGTTCAGTGGAAAGAGCACTAGTTAGAGAGTTGAAAAATCTATGTTCAAGGCCCAGCTCCAACATTTACTAAATTGTGTCAATTTGGTTTTCTCTTAACCTCACTGAGCCTCAGTTTCATCATCTATAGAATGGGAATAAAAATACACATACTTCTTAATTCATAGTTTTGTTGCGAAGAGAGCATTTAAACTCTGTGGGAGTTTGGAGTGTCATTATCGTTATTATCTACATGAGGATACTAGGAGCAAGACTTGAAGTTTGTAGGTCATCAAAGGCTCCAAGAGCCAGGTATTCCATCTATTCCTTCCACCATGATTAAGACTGGTTTCAGAGTGTCAGGGAGCCCAAGACTCCAGTTGGAAGCAAACTGAGAGCTTCAACAAGTTGGAAACAAGGAAATGCTAATACTTCTCAGTGTTGTCAGTGGAAAATGGAGCATATCCAGAAATTTAACTCAGTTAACTAGGAAATACTTCCTAAAGGAGGTATCACCTAAATTGAGCATTAAAAGATGTAAAAGATTTCAAAGGTGAGATAAGGAAGGGTATATGCATTCTATGTACTGGAAATTTATTAAACAAATATACAAGCAGGGATGAATCATGAAAGAGGAAGTGGTTTAATTTAACTGGAAGATAAAGAGGAGAAAGAAGAGTAATATGAAATAAAGATGGAAAGGTAGGTTGGCAACAAATTGTGGAAGGCTTAAATATCAGACTAATTTGTCAGGGTTTTTTTAACTTTATATTGTTGTTTCTGAGTAGATAAGCCACACAGGTTCGATCTATGCAAAAGAAAGATTATTTTGGCAGATGTAGAAAAGATGAACTAGCAAAAGCAATGAGTAGAGGCAAAGTGACTCAGGAGGTGATGTAGGGCTGAATTGGAGTGGTCAATATGGGAATAAGGAATGGATGGAGAGATGTGGAAATACAATAAGAGAACTTGATCACTAATTAGATGTGGATTGAGGTAGAGAAAGGAATAAAGTGCCAAACTTGGAGTCTAGAAGACCTGGGTTCAAATCCCACTTCAGACACTTACTACCTATGTGATCATAGGCAAGTCGCTTAACTACTCTGTGCCTCAGTTTCTCCATCTGCAAAAAATGATAGGGTTAGACTTGATGATCTATAAGGCCCCTTCTCCCTCTAAATTTTAAGAGTTATGCTCAGAAAGATGATAGCTTGAGAGGGTAGCAGAGTCAAGGGAAGGCTTTTTCTTTTTCTTTAAGTCTAAGAGATGATCAGATAAAAAATGGAGACAGTAAAAATGAAGGAGGGAATGACTGATGAAACAAATGTTTTAGGGAGTCAATAAGACAAGAATAAAAGAATTGGTAGGCTACAGTGAAGAACCAAGTGAGATCAAAAAACATAAATTTATTGTATATACAGTCAGCATAGCACGGTTTAGTGTCTTCCTTCAACCATTCTATAAAGTGGGAGCAGAGAAGGCAGATGGTATAGGTGAACCAAAGTGGGAAAATAGCAAGGCAAGAATATCAGGCTTTCAAAAGAACTAAAAATGTGAGGATAGAAGACAGTGCCTTGTTGAGATAGTCCACTATAAAGTCAAGATTTTAAAGAGAATGAAATGCATTGTTGGGCTGGGGTAATAGGACACAGGAGACAGAGAAAGTCACAGGAAGGACAAAGAACAGATTTAGAATGACAAAGATGAGGGTGGAAGAGGATGATGAGTTTGGGTTTTCAGAGTTCTGGATCTCAGAGGAAGGGCAGTTCTAGTGATGGTATGGTCTAAAGGCTGATCATTCCATTTGTAACATGAATTAGAATGAAGACCGAGCTCCTGGATAGGAAGAGATTAATGAATCAGGCTGAGGGGTTATGAGGGTCAACAAAAAGAATAAAATCAACATAGATGATGGAGGAATTGGTACAAAGAGTAAAACTAAGAAGAAGCAAAAAGAATGGGAAATATGAAATAAAATATCAGCATGTGAGGTAGTGGTCAGAGAACACTTCCTGGAAAGCATGAGACTTGACCCAAACCTTGAGGATGAGTGGAATTTTAATATTCTTAGAGGAAGAAAAGTACATTCCAGCTAAGGGAAACAATTGTGATGATAGTGAAGACAAGGCAGAAGAATTTGGACTTTATCTGGCAATTAAAATGGAGTTTGGGGAGTTTCATAAGATGAGGAGGATAATATGATAGAAACAAAATTTAGATTACTTCAAGGTGGTTGTAGGTTGATGAATTGGAGAAAAAGAAACTAGGGATAGGGACACCAGTTAGAAAGCTGACTATTGTTGAAGTTGGAAGCTATCATTATCTAAATATGAGGTTATGGAGTTCCGACTGAAGTACTGACAATACAAATGGGAGGAAATAGGTGAATTAAGAAACATTTTGAAGGAAGAAATGATAGAATTTGGTGAAATATTGAATAAAGGGGTGAAAGATAAAAAAGGGCCAAAGATAACTCCACAGTTTATGGCCTAGTTAGGCCAGAAGAATGATGTTCAGGAGAACAGAACTGATTTTTTTAAAATTTTGTCTAACAAAAGTCCAAATTTTGTGAATACCAGAAGAAAAATGATGGGATCATTGATCTAGAGCTAAGGGGACCTTAGGGGTGATTTAGTATTACTTTCTCCCTTTCCAGATAAGGAAACTGAGTCTCAAGGATGTTAAATAACTTACAAAGGTAGCATAGGTAATAAGGGTTTTAGGCAGGATTTGTACGCATGTCCTTTGACTCCAGGATCAGGGCTGTTTCCATTGTACAATGCACAATTAATCATTTCTGATTTTATCACAGAATTAAATGAATAAGAAATTACATTTTAACTTTCAAATTAGCTAACTTGATGCCTACCAATGAGGCCTGAGGAATAACAATAGCTTCTGCCAGAGTTAGAAAGTGAACTTTTGGAATGTAAGCCTAAAATATGAAACTCTTAGAAGGGAAGGCAAGGCAAAGGTAGACAAGAGAAGGGAGGGGGATTAAATGAAGTGACATATTTGGGCAAAATATTTGATGCTCTGAAATGAAATTTTGTAAATAGATGGTTCCAAGGGTAGGGCATTAGATTGTGAAACAACAAAAACTTCCTTGCTTGCCTTCATAAAAACATGCTACTTTCAAATGATGCATTGAGTTACACATATTTCTAGAGGTTAGAACCCACACATTTTTATATTCTTTGCTAAAAAAACAGTTTTGGATTTTTTTGCTTCCCTTCTGAACATAGGAGTGCTTGGAACAGTATGGCAGATAAGTCATTGTTTTAAGAAAGAGAAGAATACTGAAAAAAACACAAGATTTTTGACAGACTTATTTTCCTTTTTTTTTCCCCAGGTGACATTTACAAAGAGGAAATTTGGATTAATGAAGAAGGCTTATGAGCTGAGTGTTCTATGTGACTGTGAGATTGCGCTAATCATCTTTAACAGTACCAACAAACTGTTCCAGTATGCCAGCACGGATATGGACAAAGTGTTGCTGAAATACACAGAGTACAATGAGCCACATGAGAGCCGAACAAATTCAGACATTGTTGAGGTAAGAATTAAGGCTTTGTGAGAGTAAAGTTTTCACAGAATTGGAGGACATCTCACCAAATGTTTATATTGCTTCTGAACTGCAAGACTTAATTCTCTTTTCAGGATGTGGTGTCAAAAGCAGTAGGGAAAAAAATTACTTAAAACTGATGCTATTATGATTGATCTGTTTATTTTTTATTTCTTACTCATATAGTTGGAATGCAAGAGGAAATTATTCACTTAAAATTACATAATTTGATCTACTGTGAAATTTTAACATACAGTTAGGAGCTGATATTTGGTAAAGAAATAATTCTAAATGTTTATTGTAGCAAAGTATTTTTTTACGAAAATTAATTCAGATTTAATGTATCACATTAAGAATTAATGTAACAGATTTTCAACACAAGTGTTTTAGTTGTCTGGCATATTCAGGACTTCATAGTCTTTGTCCTGAAGGTAACCTTGTCTAGAAAGGAGGATGATATATCCATTAATGACTATGATACGCAAGTTAATATATTACTATATACTAATAGAGGGAAGGTTTAAAAAAAAAAGTAGCATGAGAGATTCAAAAAGAGAGGGATACATCAGGGAAAACTTTGTAGAAGAAGTGATGAGACCTAAGCTGGCCTTGAAAGTGAGATCCACAAGGCTTATGAGCTAAGTGTTCAGTGGGAGATGGGGGAGTCTATTCAAGGCCAAAGGTCAGGAGGGGAGGCTAGCAGATAACATGTGCAAATGTATGTGATTGTGGGAGATGGCAAATATTACTAAGCATTTAGTCACAACAGCAAGAATAACAAAATTTTATTATAACTTGTTCACAGTTGGTCTGCACAAACTATGGTTAAGTGTTGTAGTTTTAAAATGACTTTGGATCACCTGCCAAATGACCGCAAGGGTTTACCTTCATGAGCAGGAAATACTAGGGAAAGAAAGTAAAAGATGTGAGTTTTTCCAATTTTATTAGCTTACTCTTCTTACCCATCTTCTCCTGGGTCTTAATATTTTTCCTACTCTCTTAGAATATTTTGAAAAATTAATTTACTGAAGTCATTTTGGTCAAAGTAAAAAGTATTCCTGCCGTATTTAGTCTGGGTCTGTACTAAGGAAATAATAGTGGTATTTGTTCAAACAGAATTAATCATCCCATAGCTCTCCCTCCTACATTCTTCCTCCCTTCAACAGTTAAAAGTGATTTTTTTTAACTTTACTAGTAATAATGGTTATTACTAAAAGTTATTTTGAAGTTTGCAATGAATGTCAAGCGTGTAAATATTCTACATTCCAAGACTAAGCAAAAAAAAATGTAACTTTAGGAAACTAAAATTAAATTATGAATAGACCTCATGCAGTATGTGCGTAAGAGTTCTTGTGGGTACACATTTACAACACTTAAATCAAATTGTCCCTTACAAATATTAAATTAAAAGTTTATACTTAACTGAAAAGTACTTAATGTTTTGAGGAAATTGTAATATTTTCCTGCTATTTCCTAAAATAGTATTATATTCACATGTGTCTGAATATATATGTATATGCAATATACATATATATTTAGACAGATAATATAAATACTTTCTTTTTTTTTGTTTTTCTGGACCTGTAATTTCATTGATGTCTGAGAACTCCCAGTATGGAAACTCCCTCTAACAGTTCCCATTGGCAACTCTTGTACAACTTAGAGCCTCAGAAAATTGCCTGGGCTATTAAGAGGTTAAGGGACTCATTTACTGGCAGACTGCCAACATGTGACAGGTCTTCTGGATTCCAAGGCCGGCTCTATATCCATGATGCCATACTGCTTCTATATGTAAATATATAAATATATGACTTTTGGTCATATTTATCAGTTTATGGTGTAGTCCATTCTCATGGTATTCTTAGTATTCTTATTTTAAGTGTCTATATATACAGGTCAAAAATATTATGTCAATTAATCAGTCAGTCAGTAAGAATTTGTTAAGTACCTACTGTGTTCTCGGTATTGAGCTAAGTCTTGGGGTACAAAAAAACAAAAGGCAAAAGACAGTCTCTGACATTGAGGAGCTCACAGTCTAATAAGGGAGACATTAAGCAAACAAATGTGTACAAACAAGCTATCTACAGATAATAGGAAATAATAGCAAGAAGGCATTAGAATTAAGAGGGGTTGGTAATGGGTTCCTGTAGAAGATGAGATTTGAGCTGGGACTTGAAGGAAGCCAAGGACTACTATTAAGACAAAGTCTTTCATTTTTCAAGACCATAGCTCATTTATGTTAAGTAATATTTAATGCTTTGATATTTCATCTTGGTGTGAAGGTGGCATTCAGTTCTCAAAGGACATAAAATTGGTATTTGAACTCTGGCATTTCCTACTAAGCTGGAAAGGCTTGGTGTATATACTTGGTAAAGTGCATTATCTCCTAAATTCAAAGAAAATCATCACCAGAAGTTTGACCAAAAGTAGATGAAGCTTTTGGCCCCAGCAATTCATGAGAACCACCTAAGACATCAATGTCTACATCAGTGGGGTAATGAGCCCATGCTGATGAAATTACAGACCCTAGAAATATTAAAGGCTTTTAAGTACAGAATATGAAGTAAAATTCAACAACATAACTTCAGGACAATGCAAGAAGTTGTTTAGGTCCTTGAAAATTTTTATAATAGGGTTTAATTTTTGTTGTTTAGTCATGTCAGACTCTTCATGACCCCTTTTGGGATTTTCTTAGCAAAGAATGCTGTAATGGTTTGCCATTTTCTTCTCCAGCCCATTTTACAGATGAGGAAACTGAGGCAAACAGGTTTAAGTGACTTGCTCAGGGTCACCCAGCAAGTAAATGTCAGATTTGAACTTAGGTCCTCTTGACTCCAGGTCCAGGATTGTATCCATTGAGCCAGCTTAAATCCTAGCTGCTTAAATCCTAGCTGTTTAACTTTTAACATTCCTTAAAGATTAAGTTAAATATAGGAAAATAATTTTGATTCAAGTATAGGTAGGTACTCCTGCTTCCTGTGTGTTTTGTGGTCAGTTTTTAAGAGGTTAACACATAAGTGAGGTCTCTTTTTGAGGACACAGTTAATGGAGTACGCAAGTCCTCCTAGACAGCTTAGAAGCACTTAAACGCTGCTTATTTGCCATTTCCTTTTACAAATGGAGACTTGGAAAGCTTTAGGATACTAAAGAGGCAGTTAGAGTTTCTTCAGTCTAACATCACCAGATTAAGCATTTTGAATCCAGAGAAAGTACAATCTGGAGCTTCTAGTTCACACTTTCAGAATGACAATGGATTGTACATTGAGACTATGCCAGTAATTTTTATGATTTGTAAAAACAAAATTTATCAATAATTTTAAGGCATTATGGTGAGTTAAATGCATTGAGCCTTCTCAGCCCAACTAATTCCTGGCTTCTCTGCCTTCCTTTAAGCCTCAGCTAAAATCCTTCCTGCAGGAAGTCTTTCCCAGTCCTCCTTAATCCTGGTGTCTTTCCTCTAAGAGTATTTGCAATTTATCCTGTATGTGCTTTGTTTGTACATGGTTGTTTCCAGGATGTCTCTGCTGTTAGATTGTAAGCTCCTTGAAGGCAGGGATTTTTGTTTTAATATCCTCTGTGCTTCACACATTTCTTGGAACATTGTTGTTCATTCAGTCATGTCCAACTCTTTATGACCCAGTGGACCATAGCACACCAGGTCCTCAACCTGAGGGTATCTTCTTCCAATGTCATGCATTTTAATATTGCCTGCAGGGTTTTCTTGGTAAAGTTACTGGGGTGGTTTGCCATTTCCTTCTCCAGGAGATCACTTTTTGTCAGAACTCTCCACTACGACCTGTTCTTCTTGGATAACCCTGCATGGCATAGCTCATAATTTCATTGAGCCACAACAGGGCAGTGATCCAGGAGGGCTTTGGCAGAGAGCAAGCATTTCATAAATGCTTGTTGACTTGATTAAACTCTAACATGGCAAAAGTTTGCCTTGAGCAGTCTTGAAAAGTAGCTAAACAGGGAGATATGGAGATCATTCAAGAAAGGAGAGAGGAAAAGATGGAGGTGGGAGAACCAGTCACGCTGATAGAATTTCTGAACTTGGACAGAAATTGATTGTGAAGTTTAGAAGACATGGAGAGTCTGGCTTGTGGGGAAGGAGGGCCCTGAGAAATTAGTTTCCATATAGATTTAACAAAATCTTGAAATTTCCATAATCTTGCTGCTACAAGGTAAAGTTTTCAATCTTGTTTATCTGCAATAAAAGAATTATAACTGAATGGAGTTAAACAGCAGGAGAGTTCTAGCATGAAGGGTCATTTATTATGCTTCTTCCCATTTGGACTATTATCCCTACTCCCAGCCCCCCAAATTAGTTTATTCACAAGGAAAAAGAGAAAAACCACACTGTTTCCAACATTCAAACGGAAATATAAGATTCCTGGGCCATGCTACAGACAGTGTTGCAGGGTCAGAGGAAATTGTGCAGTGCGTGGGTGTTGAAAAAGATTCTTCTCTTAACAAAAAAAGCTCTGCGTAATTATCATGTCTTTGCTTGATAATTAGCACTACTGTTACAATGGCACAAAGACTCACAAAAGCTTAACGAGAAGACTGCAATCGTTTTGGTTTTTTTTCCCCCATTCTGAATGCGGTTTGAATATATGTTTAGATACAATATATAAATGTGTCGGATTGAGTAAATGTGCTAAATTTTTAATCCATTGGTTTAAAAAACAAAAACAGTTGTTGTATTTAAAGCATTTCCTTTGAAGGAAGTCCGTTTAATTTAACTTCACTGACATTAAGAAAGAATATTTACCTTTGTGTGTAAGGCTATTAAAATGCTATAAGAATTCTGAAGATATTAATGGGCCATGTCTTTCCCCTCTCAATTGTGCCTAACGGTCCAAAATCACTTACCCACCCCCTTCCTTACATACAGAAAATGGTTTCCTTTACATAGAGAACCGTTCCGAACATTCTTCCTTGGTATTTGGTAGGGTATGCTTACTGCTCATTCCTTTAGTATACATTAT